CGGGGCCGGGGCAGGGCGGGCCGGGGCGGCGTGAGGCGAGGCAGCGCCGGTAGGACGGACACCCCTGGGCCCCGGGTGCCTCCGCGCTCACCGGCAGCCCTCCCGGCTCTGCGCGTCGCTCGGAGCAAGGACCAGACACTTGACGGCCTTCCTGCTTTGTCCTGAGGGATGCAGGCGGTTTCTTCTCATCCCGGGGCGACCCGCTCTGCTTTTTCAGAATGCCCCCCCTAAAACGCAGCGTGTCCTCAGTCAGAAAGCCCCTCTGCGTGTTTTGCCGGGGGGGTCTCACCCCAGAAGGGGCTGATCCTCTTGGCGAGCTCGAGCTGCCAACTAGTTTTAAGGCTGGAGGCTAGTGCAGCATGGGTTAGAAACCAGGGGCTGGCGGGGGCCATCCCTAGATATGGGTTATCAGTGGCCGGGGGTGATCTCAACTGGCATTTCTGCTTAAGGCTTGTATCGGTTGTGTTTTGTTGTTAAAAGTCGGAAACCCCTGTAAATTAACTGCTAGCGTTTCATTTGCTCTTCTTTTAAATAGGGATTTCAGCTCCAGTGGTCTACTTCGTGGATTATGTCACCAACTCCATATATCTTGAAGATATTGTAGGCGCAATTACTGTTCAAGATCATATTAATTCTGTACAACAGAGTGGAAATGATACCAGTAGCCTCCTTACCTTAGCAGAGAAGATGGGCGAGCTGTTAGCAAGAATGCACGATGAAGATCTTATACATGGGGATCTTACAACTTCCAATATACTTCTGCGGCCACCCACAGAGAAACTGGACTTGGTGCTGATAGACTTTGGACTCAGTTTTATTTCAGGTCTTCCGGAGGATAAAGGAGTTGATTTGTATGTTCTGGAAAAAGCCTTCCTTAGCACTCATCCAGATACTGAAACTATGTTTAAAGCTTTGCTAAAGACCTATGCAGCTACATCTAAGAAATCTGGTCCTGTGATCAAAAGGCTAGATGAAGTACGACTAAGGGGAAGGAAGAGATCCATGATTGGGTAGAAGAGGGCGGGCTTAGGGATGGAGAAATATTACTACTTAGGTTCTGCAAATATGGTTATTTATATTTCTAGTTGGTTTTATTTCAGAGATCACTATTTTGATAACTGTGTCCTCAAATAAATAAATTTGAATGAGTTTAAGTGTCATAAAGTAACCAAAGTAATTGTGAGATGGGAGCACAGACAAGAGAGAAACAACTAAAGGTCACTTCTTTCCCAAATGTTAAATGTTTCTTCTAAAAAGTAGTTTACAGTGTCATTCCACTCACCCTCTTTCTTTGTGTGGTTAGAATCATACAGAGTAATCTTTCTCAGCCTGTGGACCATGGATTTATGGGAGGTAAGTGGGACCTGGAGATACCAGAGCATCTGCAAAAGGTAATTAAGAGAAACGAATGTGTTATTTTTCTCAGAAGACTTTACAACAAAGCGTTTAAGTCCATTATAAATGTCTCTACACATCCCGAAAATCTTTAGGAGGACTGAATTCCAGGACACAGGTGATGCTGAAATACAGCACTAAACATAAGACAGATTCATTTTCTTCCAATAGTGATTTTGGCTTTTTTCAGTCAATAGTATTTCCTTAAGCAAATATAAAAATTGTTAATCAAGAACAGTTTTCTGCTGAGAAAATTTAAGCAAGAAATCTGCTGTGAGTTTCTGTTTTTGGAGCTTTATAAGAGGGACTGCTTGTGATTGCCTGCCTAGGTGGGCAGTTGGCAGGGGTAGGCAGTAGTAATACTGGGGGTTTTGGTAACTTTTTCTCTATATTATTTGATTTTCTGGATTACTATATCTAATGGTGTGAACGTAAGATGGCCCAGAGGAAAAACTTGAAAACCCCACAGTAGATAGGTTAGACCGTAATCAGTGCTCTGCGTTACAGGCAGACTGGGGTGTGACTTGTGTGCTGGCTGAGAGCACAAGCTTATCATTTACTTCAGGTAATGATGTAAAAGAAACGGTGAGCTTCTCGCTGAGCTATTTGCTGTGTTGGGCAGGCTCGTGGTCCATCGGGGAAGATCCTGTTCCCTTATGGTGTCACTGGTGCTCTGTCTGAAAATGCTTGTGCAAAAGAGGGAGCAAACCCTGCAGAAACCCCCTTTCCGCACGGCAGTGTTCCTCACCTCTCTACAGCCACGGACATGTCCCTTCCCAACGGCTCCTTCCATCCGGAGGGGACAAAGCAGCAGGGAAAAGCAGCGTGGGGGGTTGTGGCAGGCACGACTCTGCCTGGCAGGGGAGATGGGGATGGAGGGCTGCTTCCTCCCCGCTTAAAGTGAAGAAACCCGAGCAAATCCCTGCCTGGGGACACGCTAGGAGGGGACGGGTCCAGCGGGACCCCCCTCGCTGGGCACCGCGGCCCCAGCCCGCAGGGTGCTGGGAGCTCCGGGTAGGGAGAGGAGCGAGGCACCAGCCCAGGGCTGCGTTGTGGGAACGGAGGGGCTGCGGGGTCGGACAGCCGGCGCCGACAACCACAAGGCGCTGCGGCGGCACCATTCGAGCTCTGTGCGGTGGCGCCGCCACAGCGCCGCCGCCTCAAAAGCAGAACATCGGCGGGTCTCGGCCCCGCCAGGGTTCCAGCGCTGCGGGCTGCCCGTGCCCGGCGCGCATTCACCTCTTGCCAGAGGAGCCGCCTGGGCGAGTGCCCGGCCCCGGTGTGGGGCCCCGGGTTCCACCGCCCAGCCACAGCTTTGGCTGCGGGGCCTCAGGACCCCAGGACGCTCTGCTGAAGCAGCACCCCATCCTCCCGGTGTGTATTTTGGTTTTATTGCTTGGGTGCCCTAGCCGTGCTCGCCCCGCATGGAGCATGGCACAGCCCAGGCTGGGGGCAAAAGAAGGAGCCATGTTGTCATGCAGGGAGCGGTGGGGCTTTAGGAGCTGCTGCTGCTGCTGCCGCCCGCTCTCCTACCTGCTTGGAGAGCAAATGCAACAGCCCAAGCAGCACACGGTCGCTTAAAACACGGTGCTCCCCAGGTGGCCCCGGGTGGCCTGCGGGCTGCTGGAGCGGGGCCTCGTGGTGTGGTGGGAGCAGGTGGATGTGAGCTAATGAGTCCCCTAACGAGGCCCGATCTGAGCCCCGAATCAGAGACCCACTGAGGAGAGGCAGCACGCCTAACCTCCCTGCCTGCCATCCCCCATCTGTACAAACACCGCTGTTACTGTCTCCTGGTGATGCCAGGATTGAGTTATGTTTGTGAAGCCCTTTGAGGAAGTCTGTTTCTAACTATCATTATGTTTATTAAAATGCAACTCTCCCTGCGGGACAGCGGAGTAGAAACAAAGCTGATCAACTGCAAGTTTTTATGGCCGGCACGGTGCTCTGAGATGAAGTCCCGCAGCGGAGCTGGGGTCAGCAGCCTGCGGCGAGGCCAGCCCTCTCGGGGTGCTGGTGCGTGGGACTGGCCTTCGAGCAGGGACTCCTGAATTGGCCTCTGCTGAAATCTGCTCTGTGATGGAGCTTCAGAACAAAGCAGAACATTACTGGTAATGAAAAGCAAAATGTTTTGCTTTTTCACTGTGTGACAAAACCCCTCTTCATTATGTAAGCGTTACTTTTTGCACATCTGCGCTACAGCTTGTTGATATTTTCTCTCGGTCAGCCTGATGTGTCTATATGGATTGCTGTGGTGAATGCTGAGCTATTGCTGTTCGAGGGTGGAAAAATCACAGCAGGTGCATGTCCAGCAAAGAGGACACTCTGGACCTGCAAAGTGTCCACCCCACAGCTGCATCGCTGGTTGTGCCTGTGGGAGCAGCTCCTGGGATGAAAACCGCGGATTCCCTGGCCGGTTCGCAAGGCAGGTGGAGTTTCCAGTCTTGGTTTGACTGAGGATAGCTTGGCTTGCTGCTGTGTCAGCTTTCAGTGCATGGTCATGAGCAACACCAAAATTATTATTATTATCATTGATATAATTTGCCATTGCATTATTAATACTCTGGCTTTATCTGTCTGCTTAGTGTTGGGTGATGCTCCAGCGCATGTGCATTCTCATAAGGAAAATAAGACTCCTGAGTTTTTTGCGTTTTTTTACATGAATAATTTATCCACTGCAAATACAGTTTCAAGCCACCAATATTTTACAAAGTCCTAAAAATATTTTGCAACCAAGTTTAGCTCAATCAAGTTTAAAAGGAAAACCAATAAAATAAAAAATACGTTCTTAGGTGAAATTGAAACATTTGTGTTTGGAAAGAGGTAAACAATCTTTGGGGCTAGAAACCCAAACTTCTTTTTAACTCAAAGCAACTGTCTGTCTCATTTTGTATTTCCACCATTGGCCAAAGCAGCCCAACAAGCAGTCCCACCCTCTTCAGAGTATGGGTCCGGATGCCAAGGATGGTCACAGCTCTGTGTGACACCGGGAGAGGCAGTGATGTCCTGCCCCAGCTTACCTAGTGGGGCTGTTCTTGCTGGCCCCAAAGACTGTGCTGGCCTTCATCCCCCCCAAACCCTCCTGCCTGCCTCCCCGGGGGACACCGAGAGGAGGTGGGGATGTGAACCGGTGGGGATGGCTTATGTTGCACCCAGCCACTGGAGGTCTCTCTGCCACCATCGCTAGCACCGGAAAAATCTTTATATTTGGGAAAAATGTTCTTTCAACAGAAAATATTTATAACTGCGTGCTGGGTGGACAGTTGATGACTCTGGGTCTTTCTACTGCTTGAATCTTCCTGCTGTTAAGAATGAATTGTTGTCTCAGGGGACCAACTCCAGGCCTGCCAGGAACAGCTTCATTTCCAGGGGCTTCTGGGCACCTGCCCATCTTGCTCCACACCTGGGTATCACCCAAATTGTCACGAACACAAGGAGCATGCAAACAAGCTGTGGAAAGAGGAATAAAAGGAAAGAGGGAAAGAAAAATGAAATGGAAATGGAGGTGTTTCATCAGCAGAATGTGCAGTGTCAGGATTTCCGAGGGAATCGCTGGTTATTGATGGAGTTGCCTTTTTTGTTTATTTTGGTGTCTGACCATTGTCAGTGATTTCTCTCATGGGAGTGGAGAGCCAGCTTGTGAGCTCGGGGTTACCAGCTTGCTTTAGTTTGCAGTAATAATGACAAATTCTGGTTTGCCCACTGATGCCATAAGTGCAGAACTGAAATAAGGGGATTTTGGGAGACAGATGTGAGTTGTAGACCTATAGGAGCACTAAGAGGAAAAACAGACATGAAAGAAAACACATACAAGTATGGCAAGAAACAGGAATGAAAATATGGTTGCATAATCTGGGTATGCTGTTACCATGACTTTTGGACAGTGGCTGCTCTGTGCCAGCAGTTATTGTGTGTATATGTAAAAACTGTGCATACAAGCCATATGATGTAGGTCTTTTGAGTGAACTTTTTTTAGTCTAGGCCTTGATGTTTGCAGGAAATTGATATTTTCCAGTTTTGCAAGATGCAAAACACTGATAACCTTTTGCAACCCTCCTCTCCCATCAGTGCTGATAGGAAACCAAGTTAGTGCAATAAAAGCATAAAAGCTCATTTGTAACCCAGAGTTCACTATGTGAGGGTCGCTACAGATAAATAAAGCCTCTCCCTGGCCCAAGCACAAGCTGTGTCCCACATCGGTCCCTTTGGGCACTATGCGGCACCTCTTTCTTTTGCAGTAAGCTAAACTTACTCTGTAAGTAATGGAGAGTAATGGCCAAGGAACGGAGTGACTTCTGATCCCAGTGATGGTCATGGAGCACAGCGAGGGCAGCTGCGGCTGCTGCTGGCACTGGAAATGGGGCTGGTAGAGACAGAATTTACAAGGAAACAAGTTAATTAAATGTTAACTCCAAGCTGAAGTCCTGGGAGGCCGAGTGAATCAGCTTGTAGCCCCCACAGAATGCGCTTGGCTGGGAAGCGCTGAAGGCTGAGCCCAGCATCTGCCCAGCTGAGCTGAGAGGGGCCGGGTGGGATCGGAGAATGGGATCGGAGAAGGGGCTGTCTGGGCAGGGACGTGACTCATGTCTCAGAGGGGGAATGTGCTCCCGTTCCCCTGGTCC